TTTCCATGGTGATTGATGAAGGAACTGGTAAACAGCGTTTCAGTTGGTTTCAAGATCTTCAGGTCAGTCAGTTTTTCAGGATCACAAAACTGGAAGGAGGAGTGTTTAACATTTATCACACTTGTAACTGATTCAATTTTTCACACAAAGTTCTTTGAAAACCTTCTGTAGACTTTTCCTTGAGGGCACAAGTCTCAAAAGTTAACTTCAGTTCTATTAAAAACTACACTGGACGTCCATAATAAAAAGCTACGGAATGTCGATTCCAAAATATATATTGAACTAATAAACAGTAACGCATCTAAACAATGTAGGTCATCTTTATAAAGTTTTCACTGGTAAAAATTCTAACAGAAAGTCTGTAAGCTAATGGAAGCACTTCAAACTTCAAAGCTGGAGCAGTTAGGATAGATTATTAGAACACTGTTCAAGTCTACAATACATTATATAATTCATGAATCAATCAACACAGCCTTACGTTGAGAATTTTTCCACTTCTTGATGTTGAAATGAAGGTGATGAAGGATTATTTTTTAGGAGTCTGAAAAGGCATCAATATGACTTGGGTTTCCTAAATACTTACCAATTTCGACCAAAATATTGATGCCTTTTCCAGACTCCTTGTGGGAAGAAATCTAATTTTTGGTGAACATCTTTTTTTAGTTTAGTACACCAGTTTTGACATCTAATGGCACCACTTAGAGAATCAGCTCAACCGTCACCTGAATTCATCTTTTCATAGAATTTCTCATACATCTAACTTTAGTAGTTGAAACATCTTAATGCATCATTTGAAATAAGAAATCTTGAAGTCAATATCTTCTGCCATCTGAATCATTGCTCTGCACCTTTTTCCAATCTTGCAAATTCATCATCTAATTCACAATATCTTCATCTGTATAAACGCGAACGCGAGACCTAGTGGAAATTGAGACACACCTGACCCGTACACTTTGAGAGTTCTGGGTCGTGTTGTGCCTCCTGGATACAAGTCCCTAACAACAAAAATCCTGCGCGATGTAGATAATCTACTAGAGAATCTCCTAAGTAATCGAGAATAGAGTTTAGTTGAACAGCTCCCAAAAATTCTCAGAGAAAATTAAATGATCCTTCATGTTAAGATATACAATAGTCCAAGGAATTCCATCAATATTAAATAGTTAATACACTTAATGTTAGATTCTATCCTGTCTTTCCATCAGAATTTAAAACTGTTGAATGTCAAAAAG